AAATAGGATCCCCTTGCATAGACCTGTTTTCCACGAGGTTCAACAAACAACTACAGACGTTTGTCTCGCCAGTTCCAGATACTCAAGCCTGGGCAACAGATGCACTGAGCATGTCATGGGAAGGACTAAACGCCTACGTGTTTCCACCCCCAATATTACTTCCAGAAGTACTGTTCAAGATCAAACAGACTCAGGGCCTACAACTAACTTTGGTCGCGCCCTACTGGCCAGCGAGAGTATGGTTCCCAGACCTAATAGAAGATCTCGGAAGTCCAGTAATCAAGTTACCAGATTGGCCGAACCTACTCATACATCTGCACACCAAGCAAGTCCACGGGAACCCGACAGTATTCCAGCTACATGTGTGGACCGTATCAAAACAGGCTTGAAGAAAAGAGGATACTCCGCCAGGGCAGCCAAGGCAGTAACCCTCTCGTTATGCAGATCTACTCGTAACCTGTATGATGACAAATGGCTGAAGTTTGAGACTTTTGCAAGGCGGAAAGGCTTCACTGCGATGATAGCTGCTCATCCTCAAGTGGGGGGAATATCTGTGTCATCTTAGACAGACCAGACATTTGAAAGGTTTGACATTATCTACATACCTCGCCGCCATCAGTACAGTGATTACCATGAAAACAGGCATCAAGTTGACGAAAGTACCAGAATTACTTGCTCTGCTGAGATCTTTTAAACTGGAGGACCAGCAAAAGAAATTCAGAGCTCCAGCCTGGGATCTGAATGTAATTCTACGTCATCTTACGAGTGATGTCTACGAACCACTAGACCAGACTACTCTCGAGCTGCTGACACAGAAGACTCTGTTCCTGCTTGCGCTAGCCACGGCAGCTCGAATATCAGAGATACATGCGCTGGACTTTGGTCGAACCATATTCGACAGGGGGCAACATGCTGCAGTTCATGTAGGACTTAGATGGGACTTCATTGCCAAGAACCAACTACCTGGTTAGCCAGATAGACAGATCCACGTACCAGCGCTATCTACAATCCTCGGTCCACAGGATATAGAGGACTTATCCTTGTGTCAGGTCAAAGCCCTGAAGATATATCTTCAAAAGACTGAGACAAGGAGACAAAAATTCAAGCGCCTGTTCATCCCATTATCAACAGAGACATCAGCAGAGGTCTCAAGAACGACCATATGGTTCTGGATGAGAGCCGTCATATTGAGAGCCTATATTGAGAGTACAGGACGTATCTAAGGACAGCTGATGAATCCACGAAGTGGCTTGACCCTACACCAATCCGTCGGATTCTATAAGCAAAAGATCATGAGTCAGGATATATAAAAATATGTAATTTGTTAAGTAAAATTGATATTTTTATATACTATCCCAAAAAAGAAATGCATCATGAAAATAGCAATTTCATGTAGCAATGAATTAAAACGTGATTCATTTTACAAAAGGTTTTGCTCTGTTTATGAGTCCTTGGTGTTTATGTTTTGAAACTTCACAACAAAACGCACCATCCGTAAAATACCCGTATTTAACAGCATGATTTTCAATTTCGGCGTGTAGTGTCACAGAATACACAATTCACATGCAATGCACGTGAAAGTTGGGGATCAGATAGTCTCAATGATGGGTATAAAAGATTGATCGCTGTCTGTCGATTATTCACTGTATTTGGAATATTGTTGACGAACGCAAAATGCCACGTCTAAGTGAAGCCAACCGTCATATCGCCATTGGTTTGCTTGAAGCTGGCCAGTCTCAACGTGCAGTTGCCCGACGCATGAATGTTCACCAAAGCACCATTTCACGGCTCTGGGAGAGATATCGCCGGCAGAATGCGGTAGCAGATGCCCCTCGTAGTGGGCGACCTCGAGCGACTCGGGCGCAGGATCGGTACATCCGGGTACATCACCTGCGTCATCGAAAAGCTACGGCGACCAGTACCGCTCGACAAATACCTGGATTGAGGAGGCTTTCTGCACAGACCGTCAGGAACAGGTTGAGAGAGGCTGGTTTACGTGCCAGAAGACCTTATTTAGCCCTGTGCTTCGACAACAACATCGTCGACATCGAGTTCAATGGTGCACCAACGTTCAGGCCTGGAACCTACCGAATTGGCGTAGAATCTGGTTCAGTGATGAATCACGATTTCTATTAGAACGACGCGATGGAAGAATGCGGGTGTACAGACGTCGACGTGAACGTTTCGCCGACGCTTGCGTTCCCCAGGTGGACAGATTCGTCCGGGACAGTGTTATGATGTGGGGAGCGATCACCTGCCGTAGGAGAAGTGATTTGGTGATGATCCAGGGCAACCTGACAGCTCAACGGTACTGTGACGAAATCCTACGCCCACACCTCCTTCCAATCATTGATCGCCAGAGGGAGTTGTTTCAACAGGACAATGCCAGGCCCCACACAGCACGTCACACTAGAGACCTCCAGAACCACAACATCAATGTGCTCCCCTGGCCCTCAAGATCACTGGACTAAAACCCGATCGAACATCTGTGGGATGCCCTGGACAGACGGCTGCGACGCCGTAACCCTCAGCCCAAGACACTTCAGCAACTCGCACAGGCACTCCAGGCAGAGTGGGCTGCGATTGGGCAACACGAGATTCTGAGACTTATTCGTTCGATGTGACACTCAAACTGACTTTTCTCGAGTTGGTGCATTCCCAGTGTGCAATTTCGCTATATTTCATTGACTCATAAAGCCTACAAGATGTTTCAAAATAAACATAAAAATACAGTTGAAATTCCTATATGCGTTTCTTTTTGGGGAGAGTATACTTATCCTGACCCATGACGAGAAGCCCTCCCAACCTCCCCGTTGAAGACACTTTGGATTTCACAGCAGATCCAAGTGCATGGGCAGAAATTCAGGAGAGAGTGACAGGTAAGGCAGGTCACATGACTGTTTGCGCGGGAAAAGGGCAAAAAGGAGGCAACTCGTGGGTGAGTGTATTTTTACGTCCGCTTCGGGAACTTCAAGGGATTCAAGTGTTCCACTACCATTCGCAAAGGAAAAGGAGATAAGCAAAAAGATTATGAGTCAGGATAGGTATAAAAATATCAATTTTACTGAAGAATTACATTACTATCATATCAACATTGAATGACTCCGACATATCTCCCATTGTTTTCACTCGTAAATTAAAATGAATTCCCTTACATTTTTTTAAGAGTAAATGTGCGGGAACACAAGTGAAACCCACGTGCTACTCTTGCATCGGTTTGCTTTGCCAACGTTCGCTGGTCGTCCAAGATTGGCTATTATTTACTGTCTGTGTTCAAGTCTGTGTGAAGATCTGCCATAATACGCCGCGTTAGGTGAACCACGGGCGAGTCTTAACGCCCAGTTAAAATTGAAGGTGCAAGGGTTTTGTAGTCAGTTTTATGTTTACTTGCTAAAACGAATCGGCTTCATATTTTACTTGAACCGCGAAAATTGCGTTTTGAAGTTCATATTATTAAGTACAAATTCCCCCAACAGTGTGCAAATAACCTTCACATGAGTGTTTCTGATACCGGAAAGTAGATAGTTCAAACACTCAACCGTTGTTGCAAGGAGGACACCTGTCTCAACCTCGATAATGCAGGGAAATAAATGGCTGCATCAACTAGGGTTCCCGTGCCGGCTCTACACGCAGCCGATTGGGCGACGCTGCCAAGTCAAAGACCACCAAAAACTTTCCGGAGAATGTGTAGACCCCCAACACTGCAGCCTTATGCATTACCCAGAATGTCGGAAGGACTGTTTACCTTTCAGTAAAGGCGGATAGTCTCCCATTAGCAGTAAACAGGTACCAAACCTAAGGCACCAAGAACAATGGGGATTTGGACAACTTACTAATAGTACTAGGAAGACAACCGAGACACTTCGTAAGCCAAGTATGCATATGTGCTGTTTTTCCTTAATCTTGTCAACCATATTTGTGTCAGATTCATTGAAATAAAATACTTTCAGTAGTTTTATCAGACGGCACATGTCAGATTTGTTGGCTTAGATTCTTCTGAGGCTGTATACGGGCCTATTTTAAAGAATATGTTATCATTATTAAATAATATTTTGTCATAAATATACACGTTTCATTGGGAACAGAAAAGGGTGGTTCATTAATTATGTTATAGAATTTTGTGGCAAGTTTATGTCAGATGATATTTTCATGCATCATTCAGTTAACTAAATGATTTTGAACAAGGTCATGCCAAGACCTAGTGGTAATCCGAGAACTAACGCCTTCTGTCGAAGTATAGCTTCTGAGTCATTAGCATCAGTGACAAAGAATTCCAGCGCTGTCGCAAGCACAATTATTCGATTTTGGAAACGACTCCGGCAGTGTTGCGCACTTAGAGATCGTTCAAGTCCAGAGAGTCTCGCAACAGCCCAGCATCACCACATCTGAACCCTTCATCTTCGAAACTCACAGCAATGTACAGTGCGAACTTCCGTACCTGCACATACACTGTACGTTAACGTTAACCAACTGTCCAAATAAGGGCAGGGAGACCATATATTGATCTTATTTTACCCTATCTCAATCAATTTCAATGGCTGCAGTGATGCAGTAATCTCTTATGGAAGACATTGTTCAAATCCAGAGTTGAATTAACTTCCATTTTCGTCAATACATTATTTTACTTCGCATTTACAAATGCATTCATACTTCGCGTATCGCATCAACAGCCTTCTTGAAGTCTCAGAATGAGTCTCTTTTTTATCTTTTTAGAAGATTCTGATATTAAAAACCTTAGATCTTGTTGATTTATATAATTTTCAACGTTACTGATGTGCTTTCAATCAAACAAACTTCATAACAGAACCGTGGACTGCTGGAGCGGACGTGAATCTGATAAGTGAGAGTATGTCCAGACGGATCATTTCCCTATAGACCAAGGACCTTACTAAACACTTCACTAAAATGCCGGAAGAGTCTGCTTGAAGCATCACAATAAATGGTAGAACCTGGTCCACTGGTTAAGGTGTCGCTATAACTCTAGTCATAACATTTTGCAGATCCGTCAGTGTGTGGAGCGGGCTTCACTATAACCCTAGTCTGAGCAAGTTCCAGTGGGGAGACGGGCAGATACTTCACTCTGCGGATGGTCTGTCATGGCAGGGTGGACAGCCGGATCTTTCTCAAGGGATGGAATGTGCCTACATGAAGCACATCTCTGGATCCTTCATCTACAAGATGACGTCCTGCAAGACACAAATTGCTGCACTGTGTGACGGTGAACTTGTCACTGAAGGTAGGTCATGTCAGACGAGTGTCGCTGCACTGTGTGTCGGTGAAGGTAGGTCATGTCAGACGAGTGTCGCTGCACTGTGTCAGTGAACCTGTCGGTGAAGGTAGGTCATGTCAGACGAGTGTAGCTGCACTGTGTGACGGTGAAGGTAGGTCATGTCGGATCAGCGTCGCTGCACTGTGTGTCGGTGAACCTGTCGGTGAAGGTAGTTCATGTTGGACGAGTGTCACTGCACTGTGTGTCGGTGAACCTGTCAGTGAAGGTAGTTCATGTCGGACGAGTGTCGCTGCACTGTGTGTCGGTGAAGGTGAAGGTCATGTCGGACGAGCGTCCTGCTGCACTGTCAGACGAGTGTGTCGGTGAACCTGTCGTCGGTGAAGGTAGTTCATGTCGGACAAGTGTCGCTGCACTGTGTGTCGGTGAACCTGTCAGTGAAGGTAGTTCATGTTGGACGAGTGTCACTGCACTGTGTGTCGGGTGAACCTGTCAGTGAAGGTAGTTCATGTCGGACGAGTTTCGCTGCACTGTGTGTCGGTGAAGGTAGGTCATGTCGGACGAGCGTCGCTGCACTGTGTGTCGGTGAACCTGTCGGTGAAGGTAGTTCATGTCGGACAAGTGTCGATGCACTGTGTGTCGGTGAACCTGTCGGTGAAGGTAGGTCATGTCGGACGAGTGTCGCTGCACTGTGTGTCGGTGAACCCGTCAGTGAAGGAAGTTCATGTCGGACGAGCGTCGCTGCACTGTGTGTCGGTGAACCTGTCAGTGAAGGTAGGTCATGTCGGACGAGTGTCGCTGCACTGTGTGTCGGTGAAGGTAGGTCTGTCGGACGAGTGTCGCTGCACTGTAGGTCGGTGAACCAGACGAGACGTGTCGCTGCACTGTGTGTCGGTGAACCTGTCAGTGAAGGTAGTTCATGTCGGACGAGTGTCGCTGCACTGTGTGTCGGTGAACCTGTCAGTGAAGGTAGTTCATGTCAGACGAGTGTCGCTGCACTGTGTGTCGGTGAACCTGTCAGTGAAGGTAGTTCATGTTGGACGAGTGTCACTGCACTGTGTGTCGGTGAACCTGTCAGTGAAGGTAGTTAGTGAAGCGCAGGTCATGTTTCTGGACGAGCGCGCTTACACCAGTGTACGTGAAGGCAAGGCCTGCATCGTCGGACGAGCGTCGCTGCACTTGTGTCGCGGTCGGAAGTGTCGCTGCACTGTCGTCAGTGAAGGCAGGTCATGTCGGACGAGCGTCGCTGCACTGTGTGACGGTGAAGGCAGGTCATGTCGGACGAGCGTCGCTGCACTGTGTGTCAACCTGTCGGTGAAGGTAGTTCATGTCGGACAAGTGTCGATGCACTGTGTGTCGGTGAACCTGTCGGTGAAGATAGGTCATGTCAGACGAATGTTGCTGCACTGTGTGTCGGTGAAGGTAGGTCATGTCGGACGAGTGACGCTACACTGTTTTGTAGGTGAACCTGTCGATGAAGGTGGTCAGGTCATGTCTGACGAGTGACGCTGCACTGTGTGTCGGTGAACCTGTCGATGAAGGTAGGTCATGTCTGACGACGAGTGACGCTGCACTGTGTGTCGGTGAACCTGTCGATGAAAGTAGGTCATGTCGGACGAGTGTCACTGCACTGTGTGTCGGTGAAAGTAGGTCATGTCGGACGAGTGACGCTACACTGTTTGTCGGTGAACCTGTCGGTGAAGGTTGGTCATGTCGGACGAGTGACGCTGCCCTGTCTGTCGATGAACCTGTCAGTGAAGGTTGGTCATATCGGACGAGTGACGCATTGTGTCTCGGTGAAGGTAGGTCACGTCGGACGAGAGTCGCTGCACTGTGTGTCGGTGAACCTGTCAGTGAAGGTTGGTCATGTCGGACGATTGACGCTTCACTGTTTGTCGGTGAACCTGTCAGTGGAAGTTGGTCATATCGGACAAGTGACGCATTGTGTCTCGGTGAAGGTAGGTCACGTCGGACGAGTGACGCTGCACTGTGTCGGTGAAGGAAGGTCATGTCAGACGAGTGTCGCTGCACTGTGTGTCGGTGAACCTGTCAGTGAAGGTAGTTCATGTCGGACGAAGTGACGCTCCAGTTGTGGGTGAACTTGTGTTTTGACGAGTTACACTGTCATTGACAGGTATTACGTTCTTTGTGCTCATTGACGACAGACACGCTGGATGCTGTGACGACTGACGAGTGCCAGAATGATGAACTCGTCATGTGGTGATCTTGTGACGTCTGACGATTGCCAGAATGATGAACTCGTCATGTGGTGATCTTGTGACGTCTGACGATAGCCAATATGATGAACTCGCCATGTGGTGAGATTGTGACGACTGACGAGTGCCAGAATGATGAACTCGTCATGTGGCGATCTTGTGTTTTTGACGATTGCCAGAATCATGGACTCGTCCTCTGGTGAGATTGTGACGACTGACGATTGCCAGAATGATGAACTCGTCATGTGGTGATCTTGTGACGTCTGACGATTGCCAGAATGATAGACTCGTCATGTGGTGATCTTGTGACGTCTGACGATTGCCATGATGATGAACTCGTCATGTGGTGATCTTGTGGCGACGGACAAGTGTCAGAATGATGAACTCGTCATGTGGTGATCTTGTGACGTCTGACGATTGCCAGAATGATGAACTCGTCATGTGATGATCTTGTGACGTCTGACGATTGCAAATGATGATGAACTCGTCATGCGGTGATCTTGTGGCGACGGACAAGTGTCAGAATGATGAGAGCTCGCCATGTGGTGAAATTGTGACGAGTGCCAGAATGATGCACTCCTCATGTGGTGACTTTGTGGCGACGGACAAGTGCCAGAATCATGAGATCAAAATCATTTGGCACCAGAATCAGTTGTTGTGTTGATTAATGTGTGACACATCGATGGTTCACAGTTGTTGTGACCTCGTTGAACTGATTGACGAATGACACAAGACACTAAGTCCAAGATCATCAAAAATGGTTTAAGAAATGTTACAAATTATGTTTGCATCTTTCCAAATTATTGTCGTTGTACAGCATCAGTAATTATTCTTGGACATGAGAAGAGCTTTTCCAGACAGTAATCTTTCAGAAAAACATTCTATTCTAGTTTTAACTAAATTTGTTAGATTGAATCTACCAAGTTCACCATACAAACATGACATTTGGAGTACTTTTTCTGAGTGAGGTTAAAGACTTCAAAAAGCGAAGGTGAACATTGTCAATGCCAGATAAATTTTCGGTGCCCCAAATGTCGCAACAGTACAAAAGTATTGGTACGACAATACTGTCAAAAAGGCGCAGTTGCCAACCGAACGATTAAATTTCCACCCTTTACCCACAACACTGCAAGATCTTGGTTGCCTGGTTTATTTGTTTTTGTATTGGCTGACGAGGGACACAGTGAAACATATGTTTGAAATGAGAATGGTTTTAACGCGGACATATTTGTTTCTGCACAGACCTGCCCAGAGCTTGGCCATCTTTCCTGAGGTACACAAAACGGAATTCCACCGAGTCAAACCAAGGTATGTTTTTTTTAGACACTATAAATACACGCACATTCTGCTTTGGTCATTTACCACCATTTCTGTTGAAGGATTGTGTGATTTGCTTTATTGTTCCTTCACGATAGCAGGTTGAAGGACTGAGTAACGTATTTTACGTTCAGCACGAATCTGTTGCTGTTACACCTACAAACGACATCTGTTCAGTCGTGATTGGAACCAATGGTCTTTGGTTACTGTAACTGAGGGCATTCTGCGCACCACAAATACATATTACGCAAATGCTCTCTCACGTTAAATGCCGTTGGAATAATAGTTTATTTCTTATATCACGAGTAAGCTCCACAATATTGTGGGAAGCAGTTTGAAAGTTAATTCAAATACAGTTCGAGATATGGATAGTTTGACTATTGCACATCAATGTGAGATTTCCTTTGATGTAGGCATGAAACTTTTCCAGTGGCATTCTAGAAGTGTGTGAGTACCTCGTCACCGAATGAGATGTCTGGTAAGACAATCTTTCCTTTAGATTTCACGACGTCGACTCTGGTGAGTGAGGGAGTGAGTTTAGTTTTACGCCGTACTCAGCAATTTACCAGCTATATGGCGGCGGTCTGTAAATAATCGAGTAGTCTGGGCCAGACAATCCAGTGATCAACAGCATGAGCATCGATCTGCGCAATTGGGAACCGATGACATGTGTCAAACCATGTCAGCCAGCCATCCCACCCGATCCCGTTAGTCGCCTCTTACACGTCGACTCTAAATAAAAACAACAACTAAAATGACAAACAAATATAACCCCACACAAAACAACAACAACGACAAAACTCTAGTCTGTAGCAACTCTAATACTAAAGTTAAAGGTCACATGCAGCCAAAAACCATACAAAATTAAAAACACAATTATCACTAATTCATGACATATAATATACATTTCTGATTATGAAAAGACAAATAAACAAAAATTATAAAACATTATTAAACACAATCGCAAATCAAAAGTGCAATATTTTTGTAGTTGGGTTTACTTCCCCTCGAAACGAATACCAGACTGGATACCGAACACAGTCAAAGCGGGTGGGCGTGCATTTAAGTGTAACGAAGCCTTTCATTGGCTGGTTCATTTGCCGATATACCCAGGGCTCTTTGTGTGTGTTGTATAGAGATGTTGGATTTTGTAAATACATGGTCATTTTGTGTATAGCATTTTGCAATCAACAGACATCATAACATGTCATGTGTACAAGTATCACACCTGCCCGTCTGTGTAATTACATAATGTGACGATGAAAAACCCCGCAAAATCGGAGTTCAAAACGATTCAGTAAACTCATCCCAGCTTGGGTGAAAGTGGTTTCAACAGCTGTGCTGTGCTGCACTGCGCTCATGGAAGCGGGATGTCTCGGAGTAGGCTTTGATGTGAGCTATATTTCTAATGTTGTCTTGATATTTCACAGTCGCGAGCTTTTTTATATGTTATGACAGGAGAATACCGATTTAACTGTTTATATAATTTTATTTGACTATTTCACCACACGTTCTTCTTACCGAGTCACTTTTCAGTTCGATACTTAACATCAACCTCATTATTTAGCATTGTCAGAATTTTCTAACTGTTATATAGATATGACTCTGTCACAGATCAAAACTCACAAAATTGACACTTATGTGTCTGCCTTCCTGTCTGTTAATTACAATATGCAATACACAACTTGATCACTGACCACATGTAATTTGAACTTAACACATATCGGGCTATACACCATAAACAAAACGCATTGATACACCATAAAACAAAACGCACAATGTGTGTGTGTGTGTGTGTGTGTGTGTGTGTGTGTGTTATTAATGGAAAATGCTCAATTTAGCCGAGGACGGAGGAAGTCATGCATTCAAATGCATTCAAATTCATGCAATTAAATGAGTGAGCATTAGAGCATTCAGTGTAAATACTTACGTTTTCTTTGATGTATTGACCCCCGTCTTAGGAATCATGCATATTTAGTTTCAATAGCAAGTTATTTTGAACACAGAATTTTAAAATCTGTCATAAACCTAGTATTGTGAAAAAAGATTGCGACAGCTGTGTTGAAGCGAAAATTCGACCGAACACGTTAAGCTCCTTCATAACAATGCAGTTAATGGATGCGTTCACATGCAAAAGCCCGCGTCTCGGCTCACCTTTGGCCACAACACCCAGCGTCAGAAAGTTGTGATTGTCAGGGCATTGCCTATCCCACGGTCGAGATCAACAAAAATACCAATCATTTGGACAGCCATTGGGCAGCAGTTCTCTAGAACCAGTGGTTCAAAAAGATAATCCACATGACGACATCAGATTGGTCAGAAAAATCCCGGATGTTTTTCAGTTGAAAACAAATTTCCGGTTTATTTAGGGTGTAAATACCAGCAAGTCGCACTACACCCCGATTGTCGTGTTTCTACAACCGGATTTGGAAAATGGTACTTCTTTGCTATCAAGATCTGTTGAAACTTTTTGAAGCATTAACACGCAGACCGGGTATTTCACCTTCAAACAAAGATCAAACTAAAGAAGTTACATTAAAACAATGAATAGTTTCACCTTTAGGATTTTCATGGGCTTCCAGTAACTACAGCATTCTTGTGACATTACATATACCACTACTATCAAAGCATTGTTGCATACCATTTTAATAATTGTCAATATACGTTGGTTTCCTCTCTCAGGCGGTGTCTCTTGCTTTGGAGTACTTAGACACCAATGATGAGTTAATCTGTATGTGGCATTAATGTACTTTATCTTCAAACATTTGCGTCCCTCGTGTGGGTCAAAGTAATCATGACGAAGGGATCGGATTTTACAGAGAGAACACGTGTTAGGTCAATGAAATAACGGAGGAATGTCCCATTTAGCAACAAGTTGGTTTTCTAGTTGAGAGGAGTAATTGGTAGATGCAGAGTGTACGTTGAAGTCGTGAATATTATTACAAACAGAAATGTGTACAGTGAGAAGCGATGTGGGAACGTGATAGACACATGTCTTGTCTGGGAATTATAATTTGTCAGGATGCGTAATATAATAGTGCAGGTCATACCGTAGGCCAGTTTCAGGTACATGTTCCCTCACAATGTAGACCCTCTCACTAATTCGTAGAGCAAAATTGTGAAAGTTGTTTGTGATAGCAATTGTAGAGACTACTTTGGAAAATTAAAGACATTCTCATATGAGGTCTTCTGTTGAAGCACCAAATTGTGAACCTTTCAGATTTCTTGGTAGACATCAGAGCCCATTGGAGTTGTTTAAAAAGGGTCGTAGCTACCGTTATAGAAAAAGCACGGGCTTACGGCTGTTGCTGGCTTGGCCTACGGTATGACCTACACTATTATATTACGCCTCCTGACAATTATAATTCCCAGACAAGACATGTGTCTATCACGTTCCCATCAACTCCACTCCCTACTGTACATTTCTGTTTGTAGTGTTCACGACTTCAACGTACCTCTGCATCCAATTGCTCCTCTCAACTAGAAAACAACTTGTTGCTAAATGGGACATTTCTCCGTTATTCATTGGCCCCTAACACATCTGTAAAATCGATCCTTCGTCATGATTACTTTATTTTAGGACGCAAATGTTGAATAAAAGTACATTAATGCCACATGCGATTAACTCATCATTGGTGTCTAAGTACTCCAAAGCAAGAACGTCAAGGAAACCAGCGATATATTGACAATTATTAAATGTTGTCCAACAATGGCACGATAGTAGTGGTATAATAATAATGTCACAAGAATGCTGTAGTTACTGGAAGCCCATGAAAATCCTAAAAGGTGAAACTATTCGTTGTTTTTAATGTAACTTTCAGTTTGATCTTTGTTTGAAGTGAAATACCCGATGCTGCGTGTTAATGCTTCAGAAGTTTCAACAGATCTTGATAGCAAAGAAGTACCATTTTCCAAAATCCGGTTGTAGAAACACGACAATCAGGGTGTAGTGCGACTTTAGGTATTTGCCCTAAATAAACCGGAAATTTGTTTTCAACACCCAGGATTTTTGTAATCTGATGTCGTCATGTGGTTAGTCTTTTAATACACTGGTTCTAGAACTGCTGCTCCTTGGCTGTCAAATGACCCGGTATTTTCTGTTGATCTCGACGCCATTGGGATAGGCAATGCCCTGACAATCACAGCTCTCTGACGCTGGTGTTGTATTGGAGCATAAGCTTTTGCATGTGAACATCCATTAGCTGCTGTTATGGAGGAGCTTAATTCCTTCCAACGCAACTGTCGCAATCTTTTCACAATGCCCTAGGTTTATGACGAATTTTAAAATTCGTGTTCAAAATAACGCTATTGAAATAAATATGCATGATTCTAGGGCAGGGTGAATTTTGAATTTGAATGCATTTGAATGCATGACTTCCTCTCAAATCATAAATAGAAGATGGTATTTTACACACACACACACACACACACACACACACACACAAATTGTGCGTTTTGTTTATGGTGTGTGCGTTTGTTGATGGTGTATAGCCTGATAGGTGTTAAGTTCAAATTACATGTGGTCAGTGATCAAGTTATTGTATTGCATATTGAGAGTAACAGACAGGAAGGCAGACACATAAGTGTCAATAAAATTGAGTTTTGTGTAGACAGAGGCATATCTATAACGAGTTAGAAATTCTGACAATGCTAAATAATGAGGTTGATATTATCGAAGACAAAAGTGACTCGGCGAAGGCGTGTAGTGAAATAGTCAAATATAAATTATAAACAGTTAAATCGGTATTCTCCT